GTGCAAGAGGTACATTGATAGATTTCCTATCACAGGCCCCCAAATGGGGACCTGGCTCTCAATCCAGGCATGTGCCCTGACTGGGAATTGAACAAGCAACCTTTCAGACTGCAGGTCCAGTCCACTGAACCACACGAGCCAGGACAAGATTTGAAACTCTTGATTTGCATGATTTTGTGGGGGTTTTCTGGGTTAACTGAATATTAAACTATTTCCAAAGGTTACTGCTGGCCGCTTTTGGGAAGACTGGGCATCTCTTTTTAATTGTTGTAGTTGGAGTGCCAGAGCTTTAGGGGTCTTTTTTTGATAATCTGGGGCTGGTGTAGCCTTAGGTTCCTTGTCTTTCTCCAAAGCCTTAGTTGGGTAGCCAAAGAGGCTGTCTCATGTGGCTGTCTGGTGGCCCAGATAATGTCATGTTGTTCTACTAAGGTACTGAAAGCTTCAGAAAAGCTGGCCACAAATATGGAATTGAACGGACTGAGAGCTTCATCATTCAAATTTTTTTATCCCTGAATTTTGTTGGAAAGTCTGTTCAAATCTATCAAAATAGGCAAGAACAGATTTGTCCTTTTTCTGTTTGCAATGGTGGATGGCTTTCCAAATAACTTGGTAAGGAAAGATTTAGGGGGTAACTCTTAATAATTTAGTGGCCTTTTGTTGTGCCTTCTCAAAACCCTGGGTACCAGTTAATTTAAAGTCCTCCAGAGGTGTTTATTCCAATCAGCAGCCAAGATAAATTTCCAGGCTAAACATTTTCTAAAACCCTGTGAATAGGTAGATAAAGATCAGAAAAACCAGGCTGATAGGCATTGACAATTACATTGAAATTGCCATTCAAACTCAAGGGAATTAAGCTTAGGGTCAGGGAAACCCTTTACTAGGGCCATAAATTTGGATTCTGTCCAAGCAACAAAGAATTTTGGTTGTCTCTATCACCTGATTCAACCTTAAAAGGACCTATTAAGGAAGGGGGAGGAAGGTCTGGTGCATTCAGAGAAGTAGAGATATCAGGAGAGCAGAGAAAGGGAAGTACAGAAAAAGCACAAAAGGGAGGAGAAAGTGAGGTGAAATGGAAGTGGTAGAAGAGGTGAAGAGGGTGGTTTTTCTGGACGCTTGTTAGCTCAGGAATAACATGCAGTATTTAGAGGAAGAGTTTCCAAATGGGTCCTCTTTCACTTCAATTTTACAGGTGCAAAAATTAGGGAAAAATTCCTTTTTCTAATAATTAAGGTGTTTATTCAATTTAGAATTATTCTCTTTACAAGAGGTGATAACAAGTTTGGTTTAAGAGTTCTCAAGGTACCAGTTGAAATCCTCCCATTGTCTTTGGGAGGTTTCGTGTGTTCTTTGTTGCAATTGTGTGTGCAAATAAGCAAGTTTTGAAATCTCAAAAGAGCCCACCTGGCCCAGCAAATTTTAAGATCATTCTGGGTCTCAGTGATTTTTGTCCAAAGACTCAGCCAGTTATCACTTTCTGAGCCATAGGTCTTGTGCATAAGATTGGCTGGGGTACCAGAGGGTGGCTGGTCATTGAAAGAGAACTTAGAACTTAGAAAATGGGGTCCCCATTTTCACTCACCTAATGAAGATGTCCCTTGATCCATTCAAATGCCCCTTAAGCCCACCTGTCCCCACAAAACTTTATGGACAAGGTCCAAAGAACTGTATGGAGTCTGAGTCTTATGGATGAGGTTCCAAGAGCCATATGGACCAAGTCCAAACTGAACTTTATAAAGGGTTGCTTCCCTGAAGTGAGGAGAGTCTCGGAGACCTCAACTGAAAGTGCAGGAGGTTTGGATCACCTGAGGCCTTTCAGCACCAGTAGGAAACAACTGAACAGAAAGGGCTCTTGCTGGCACCAGGACATTGATTCTGAGATAGCACTGGGAAGACAGCCTGGGTGCTGTGTCAGATCCCATCACTGCCACCAAAATATAAACAAATCTGAAAAGTATCAGAACAAAAAAAGGATAGGATTTATTCAGGCAAACTGGGGAGTCACAGCTTTCAGTAATTGTGTGAAAGTTTGCTCCACCTGAGACAAGAGGGAGGGTTTTTTGTTTTTTGTTTTGGTTTGTTTTCTGTGTTAGTTTTTCCCAAAAATCACTTAGACTATTTCCTCTTCCTCTTCCTCTTCTTAAGGAAGGAAGAGAAAGACCATCAATGACCAACAGTAATTGCCAAAACAACACCAAGGCCCAGGCTGGGGTGGCTCACTTGGTTAGGCATTGTCCCGCAAAGCGAAACTTCGCTGGTTCAATTCCTGGTCAGGGCACATGCCTAGGTTGCAGGTTCAGTCTCCAGTGGGGATATATATGAGAGACAACTGATCAATGTTTCTCTCTCACATCAATGTTTCTCCCTCCCTTTCCCTCTCTCTAAGAAAACAAAACAAAACACCACCAAGAACTGATTCCACACTTAGAGGAGAATGCTGCGGCTCCCCCTCTTGATTTCAGATGTTCTACACATTCAGAGGAACTTCTCTAGTAACAAACAGTGGAAATGACTCCTGAAAGTATAGTCTTGGGAAGGCTGTTCTCAAGTGCCCACAGAGGTTCCGAATTAAGTCCATTTTATGTAAATAAGATATCCAAATTTACATGGTTCTGACTGGTCTGAATCCCACGGCTCTGATTGGTGGGGACAGGTCTCCACCCATTGGTTGAAAGGCGAAACCAGGAACTCCTTTATGGTAGTTGACTCAGATGCCATAAAAAAGGAGGGCAGTGTGGGAAGCTGTGAGTTCAGAGATTTTTCATGGTATACGGAGTATGCAAGAAGCCCCTGCCAGCAGATGACTGCTAGGCTCTATTTGTAAAATTTGGGTCCTCAGTTCACCATGTAGTCCATCTTAGCAAGTAAATTCTTGGGGTTCACATCAAATGATGTTGTATTATCTTTATATTTATGTCTAAAAATTTAAGCAAGGCCTCAACAATAGGGAGGGGACCCCAGGTACAACTCACCAGAGGCTTTTCCTGCACCACTAGGAAAAAGGAAAGAAATCTCCATTCAGGATTGCAGAGACCCAGCTAGTATCTTTTTCTTTCTTTCTTTTTCATTTTTTGTAAGGTTTGGGATCTACCCTGTTTTATTGAATATGAGATCCCATCAAATGTTAACCTCACCATTATTTTATATTCTATGAAAGAAGGAAGGAAAGGAGGAAGGAAGGGGAAATTGTCAATTAAACCATGTCACACCTTTGAATATACAATGGATCTGGGTTTCTGCTCTGTTAAATCTGAAAACTTTATCTTGAAATCAATGACAAAGTATTGTATCTGACACCTCTTTTTCTTGGTGAATAGATCACCTAAGCTACACCATTCACCTGATGCCTTCCTTTCCTTAAAACTTTCTCCTTTGCCACCTTGTCTAACCAATCACCAAGTCCTGTCTTTTCCACCCCTGCCGCCACCTGCCTTATTATCTCTCACCTGCACCACTGCACTAGCCTCCTAACCAGCCTGCTCATCTTACCTTCCGATCCATTATTCATACGGCAGCCAGAGTGATCACCTCATCGTGTCCTGGCTTAAACATTTCCACTGGCTGCTTTACATTGGGCTTTTCACGGTCTGGCCCCTGCCTGCCTGCCTGCCTGCCTGCCTGCCTGCCTGCCTGCCTGCCTGCCTGCCTGCCGTTTTAGTCTCTTGGCACTTCCTCCAAATATAATTACTGGCTGCTTCCTCAAAGCACCATATGTTTTTTTTCAGGTCTCCCGGCCTTTGCACCAGCTGTTTTCTATGCTTGGACTACTTTCCTCAACAACTATTTATTGATCGTGTAGTAAGTGCCGGGAGCTGAGAATGGAGGGACGAGCAAAGCAGGCACGAACCCAGTCCTCAGAGGCTGGTGGAAGAGACAAAAATGGAAACATATAATCATTAATTGTAAGTGGGCATTTGTTCAGGTTTGTTGAAAATCTCAACCACGGCCTCAGAAAGTTTAGAATCCGAATAGGGTCAGGAAGGCAGTTTAAAGAGGATTAGAATCCCATATCTACCAGTGACTACCGATGTAACTTTGGGGGACTGGCAAGCGGAGTATCCACCTCTGTGAAATGGAAAATTGCCCGCCCCACAGTATTCCTGGGAGGATTTCATATGAGATACATATAATCACGCGGTTCTGCGGTCCCCGAGGGCCCCTCCTCCAAGGGGCGCCAGGGTCCGTCAGCCCCGTAGCGCCAGCCCCCAGCCCCCAGCCCAGGAGGCTGCAGGCGAAACCGTGTGCGCCCGAGCTCCAGCGTGCAGGAACTGCCCGGAGTCGTCCGCCTGCCTCCCACAGCCAGACCGAGCCCAGACCGCAGGCCACGGCGCAGGCAGGGACCGGGGCGTCGGACGCCGGGCGAGGCGGGCAGCGCTCCACCCAATCTCCCCACTTTGGGGGCCAGCCCCCCTCGCGCACTGGCTCATTCCCGCCCCCGCCCTTGAATCACTGGGGGCGGGGAGGGGGAAAGGAGCGGGGGCGGGGCCATGACCCATTCATGCCGGGAATCGGATCCAGATGTTCCCGCGGCGCGTGCAGCTGCATCCTTGCCTTTTTTGGCAAAAAACGTGTGGCCGCGAGCGGATCCCGGGCCGCCTCGGCTAATCCTCGGGAAGAGGGGGAAGGGGGCTGAGGGTCTGGGCCCAGACTGGGGATCCGCACCGGGTGCTCTGCGGGATTTGGAAAGGGCTAAGGGAGATGGGGCGGGATTTGCACCAGACGGGGTAACCCACTGGCACCCCTGCTTCCGTTGAGAAACTGTCCCAAACCCCTCCCTTCTCCACGGGACGAAAAAGCCCTTAGCCAGCAGGAGGGAGGCAGGCTAAGCCCTAGAGGGACGGTAGCAGCGGCGGGGATCCCCTTTCTCCAGAGAGATTTCCCATCCTGTGGTTCGCAGCTCCCCCTCTGCCCTGCACCGAGGTTTGAATAGCCTCAGAGTCTCTGGTCGGCGGAAGAACGAACCTTTCTTCCCCCTCCATCTCCAGACAAAACACACAGAGGCCTGTGCTACCTCACGCTGCTTTATTGCAGAATCTGGAAGTGGATGAAACAATCCCACCCCTCTGCCCATCTCTGGGCAAAATGGAGCTGAAATGAGAAAACACTCAACGAACGCAGGCTGGGCAAAAACCCTGTACCCTAGGACCCCCTAACCAGTGAACCTCTGATCTGCTGCCCAAACAGCCTCAGCCCTGGGGACAGGAGTGGAATAGGGGTGGGGAGGGTCAAGCCCGAGTACAGGACTTCTCAGGCACCCATAAGAGACCTAAAGTCTCTTCAGAGAAGCCTAGATTGAAGGGGCATGGGTCCCAGAGTCCCAGTTTGGAGGGATGGGGTCTAGAGCCCTGATTTGGGGTCAGGGGATTGGTCTGGGAACCATGACACTAGGGGACAGGGCTGAGTTCTAGAGTTCAGACTTGGGAGGGGATCTGAATGAGAGGTTCCGTAAGAGCCCAGGTTTGGGGGTCCTGGGCTAGGAAGTACCAGTTTGTGGATGTTGGGAGTGGGGAGGCTGAATCCTGGAACCCAGGGGGAGCCCCAATTTGGGGAGAGGCTGGGTCCCAGAGGTGGTTTGGAAAAGGAGCCTTAGTCCTCGAGCCCTGGTTTGGGAGGGCCTGGGCCCAGGAGCCCTGGCTCAGGGCCCTGCCTGGCTGCAGCCCTGGCACAGTACTTGGTCTCCATCTGGCACGAAGCCTTGGCCCACCAGGGAGGTGGAGCAGCGGGCGCAGGCGAAGCAGCTGTGGTGCCAGTGGCGGTCTTCAAAGGACACGTACTTGCCTCCACCGAGTCCTGGAGGGAGGCTGGGGGTTAGCTCTGCAGATCTGGAGGGTGGTCCTGGCCCTCAGTCTTGCCCAATCTCAGATCCCCTTCCCTCGCCTGCACCCTTCCCACTCAGTTAGTTGACCCTTATCCCACCTGTGATGGGGCGCTTGCAGCTGCTGCACTTGGGTGCAAAGAGTTCTCCAAAACAGGCCACGCAGTAGGGATCGTCATCCCGGGAGGTGAACTGCTGCCCTGCCAGGGGTGTCTGGCACCCGGTGCAGACCAGGCATTCTCGATGCCAGGGCTGGTCACGGTATGTCACGCCACCCTGTGTCAGCGTCTGTGGGGGCAGCACCTGTCAGCCGTGGGGAGTGGATATTCCCACCCCACAACAGAGCCTTGCTTACCCCCACCCATGCGTGCAGTGGAGACCAGTGTCCCCACTCTGTTGGCCCAGTCCCCACCTTGCTGCAGCGGGCGCAGCGAGGCGCAAACTTGTTCTCATAGCAGGGCACGCAGTAGTGAGCACCCTTGTCGGGCACAAAGGAACGGGAGCCCAGCGGCTGCTCACAGCCGCTGCACAGGAAGCAGTGCTCATGCCACGTCTGGCCTCCGTACTCCAGCTTCCGGGACCCTGTGGGGAACAGAGGTCCCACTCAGAACCTGTGTCCCAAGCTCCTGAGTGCTACCCTCTGCTACCCAACCCCCCCCCCACCAAGGGGAATTACCACTGCTTCCATAGCCCAAGCAGGGTGGTATCCATGTACATGCAGCAGGGCCCCCAACACGTATATTGCACGTGCTAACCTCCCCCCTACCCACTGACATGCTGGTTGAGCACATGCTGAGCCCCCATAAACTAGACATGAGGGTTTGACATATGAGAAGTTCTCATATGGACCAGATATGACTGACTCATATCAGAGGCACGGCGACTCAGTATATGCTAAGCCCTTACACACCAGATATGATGGTTTCAGCATATACACAAAGACCCTACTTACACTAGCCAAGCAAGTCTCTGCCCACACAAAGTTCTAATGTTTTGGACATGGGAAGTTCAGTACATGCTAAGCCCCTACATAGCCTAATCATGCCATTCTCTACATATTCTAAATCCTCACATCTATCAGGCATGCAGCTCAACACACGTTAAACCCTGTTTATCTGTCTCTGCACACACCAAGCCCCAATGTACCAAGCATGACAGCTTCAGCATACTCTTAGCTCCTGCATGTACCAAACATGCAGCTCTTCAGACATGCTAAGCTCCCAGATGTGTCAGTCTGCCCATACATAAGACCACAGGTGTATACCAGGCCCACTGGTCCAGCATATATTAAACCGTCAGGAGTGTACCAACCTTGACAGTTCATGTACATGCTAAGCTTCCATGTGTATACTTGAGAGTGCCTGTCCCTATGCCTGCTAAGTTCCCCAGAGCATACAACCAGGACAGATCCTGCATACACTAAGTTTCGAGGAAATGCAGTCCATGCAGGTCTTTACTGTATAAGCCTCCATGTATGTATCAGACAGGTGTACCAGTCCCTTGCCTACGCACAAACCATGCACAGATGCCAGGAATGCCGGTCCCACACACAGTGAGCCCTCGGGGACGTACCCGGCATGACGGTCTCCCCACAGGCGGAGCACTGTGAGGAGAAGGCACTGCAGTAGCAGTCATTGCACAGCAGCTCACTGTCCTGGCAGGTGAATGGCTCATCAGCTAGGGAGCGCTGGCAGCGGCAGCAGCGGAAGCAGCCCTCGTGGAAGTGGCGGTCTTCGTAGAACAGCTCCTGCCGAGAGCACGGCAGAGGCACTGGCACCTTTGCCCCTCCTGCCAGCCTCCACCCACTCCCTGCCCTGTCAGGCCTGGTCCTTACCCTCGAGTCATGCCCGATCAGCTGCTGGCACTCGGCACAGGTGTTGGCAAAGGTGTTGTCGTAGCAGGGTACGCAGTAGGGGCCGTTGTCTGTCTGGATGTATTTGCGGCCATACAGGGACTCACTGCATTTTGCACAGTCAAAGGCCTCGCTCATGGTGGCTGTCGGTGAGCCCTGTTAGGGACACAAAGTGCAGTGGGGTCACCAAGATGGGTTGTGGCTTAGCCGCTTGCAAGTGTCCTTGGCATGATAAAGAGCAAGAGAACAGGTACAGAACATTCTAGGTCAGAGTAGGCAGTGATGGGGAAGGGGTGCTTCTCAGAACCCAGGGATCCTGCATGTTTATTTCTGTATTTAACTCTGGGGATAGAAGGCGGGCAGGAAAAAATCAGGAAGCAGAAGTTATTTTCTTATCTGGGTCCTGGCAGATCTGGGGGGAGGGGGCTTTTCCTGGGTCAGTGACTCATTTCCTGCCCCAGCCTGAGTTTAGCCTCCACTGTCACTGCTGTCCCCAAGGGGGCAAGAGCAGGGGCAGAGAGCCACCCTGTCCTGTCCCATATAAAGAGCACTCCCACCCTCTCCTGACTCCTAGGCAGAGACTCTGAGATATGGATAAAGGAACCCGTATGCAGAGGGCCGGAGTGGGGAGCTTAGGGATGGGACTGGGCTGTTCCCACCCCGTCCCCATCCAGGAAATAGTGGAATGTTAGGGGGATGCTGGGCGGATGAATGGTGGAGGTGGAGGAGGCGATGTCATTGAGCTTCACCTCCCAGGAGAATCAGCCCAGCAACAAGGACTTCAGAGGCTCAGCCTAGGTTAAAGCAGGAAGGAAATCCTGCAAGCTGGACCCAGCTAAGCTTCCCCAGCTGTACCCTCTGCCCTCACCCCCTACTGGGTCTCTGGTCACACCAGCCTGGGCAGCCTTGGCCTGCAACATCTGCAGCAGCTGTGGCAGCCCAGATGGCCAGATGTCAGGTCTTGCCAGCAACAGGGGAGAGAAAAGAGAGGGAGAGGGGAACCGGAGACAGATTATGCAGTGTGCCTCCCTGCCCTCTCCTGCTGGGGGCCACCACTCCTGGCAGCATCTGGCAAAGCCCCAGCATCTTTCCATCCCCTGGGTCATGATTTCCCTCCCGCCTCTGGGAGAGACAGTCTCTCCCCAGCTTTTTGGATTTCTAAGGGTTTGGGGCAGGGGGAGTGAAGGGTGAGAGTGGGAGCCACTGAAGATATTTTCTCCCCAATCAGGCCCCCTCTCAGATGGGGAGTCCGGCAAAGGGGAGCCCTAAGAGCTGTTGCTGCAGACACCCACCCCCCAACCAAACCTCAGACACTTTCCATTTTCTCAGGAACAAAGCATATTTGTGGGATGAGGTCATCCACACAGCTGCCTCTGGAACAGGAGCATGGGGAGTGGGGCGGGTAGGGAAGTGGGGTTCCTGGTCCCTTCTGCTGCCCGATTCCAGCCTCTAGCCCCGAGTTCAGAGCTCCCCGCCTCCAGCCTCCTCTGTCATGAAGCCTGCTCTCTGAGGACTGGGATCCCGGGGTGGGCGGAGAGGAACCACCAGGACCCATAGGAAGGGGATGTTCTCACAGCTGCAGATGAGCCTGGGGAGTACAAAGGAACCCACCAACCCACTCCCTCCACATTAGACCTCAGGATCTGGCCGTCCCCAGAGCCTGTCCTGGCTCAAGTTGAAGGGAAAGCCCTCCTTCTCTAAGCCACCCCTAGTGGGAAATTCTCCCAACAAGCATTGCTCTGGCTTGGAGTTCAGACTCCAGGCGCCAGTAGACGCCCCAAGCCTGTAGAGTCTGGCTCTTTTGAAGGGATAGCTCGTGAGCTTACAACTGCCCTTCTGTACAGTGGGAGGACATTCAGTTCACACCCCAGGCTAGGGCATGAGGCAACCAGAAGCTGGGGTCTTCACAGCAGGGAATTCTGGGGTAAGAGCTATGCTGTAGGGTGGAGGGGAGTACACCCCTCTCAGTCTGCTCCCCGTCACTCAGGCCTGGGTTTCCTTTGGCCCAACATCTGAGGATTGCCTGGGCTGCCTGCCACTGGGCAGCAGGGGGCCACACAGGTGGAGTGCAGCCACACCTCTGTCCAGGAGTGCCGTAGACCTTTTCCTTCCTTCCTGGCTTGGCTCTAAGCAGTGGCCACCTTCTCAAGTCCATGCTAGCCCTGGGCCCGCCGCGTGTGGGGCAGTCACCGCTCTGAGACAGGGGCACCCCAAATAGGGTATGGGCATGGCTCCTGTTTCTCTTCCCAGAATCCCCTAGTCTGTCCAGCTGGGCTCTAGTGAGGACAGAGTGAAGGGCACTATAAGGCCCACCTGTCTCTGCCCATTTCCCTCCTCCCCCTTTCCCTGGCAGGTCTAGGGAACTGAGGGAGCCAGTCTTGTGCTCCTTCTTGGCAGGGAGGGCTGTGCAAGGGAGACTACTCAGTTGGCCAGATGGCTCTCAGCCCCTGCCCCCACTGACACACACACTCCTACACCTGACCCAGACATACACATCTGGCACCTCTCAGAGCTCAGAATGGCCAGATAAATGGTTGTGGCATGTGGTATGCAGAGGCTTGAGCTGTGAAATATAAACCCTGGAGATCGTGGGCAAGTCACTCTAGCTCTGTGATCCTGTTTTCCCATCTAATAGTACTTCCTACCTCCTGGGGTTATTGTCAGGCTAAAATGTGATGATACTCGGAAAGCACCTTGCAGTTAGTCAGTTGTCACTAAATGGAGGATATTAGTGCTTTGATTATTAGCCCCTCTCTCATACTGGGGTCAGACAATAGTTTCTCAGCCAGGCCTGGGTCAGGGAACTGGCCTGGGATTTGACCTGGACATTCTCAGTGCAGGGCCAGGGAGAGAACAAAGGGGGAATCCCCAGTTCTCTAACCAAAGGGGCCCAGGCTATGGGGCCAGCCTGACCCCAGTGAGCATAACTGTGAGACGCCGCACACAGGCGCACAGGTGCACACATCTGGATGCTGCTTTGCCTCTCACAAAGTGCACTGCCACCCACCCACCCAATGTTTCCTCAGATCTCACAAAAGGCAGGCAGGATAGTGTGTCATCCCCATTTTACAGCCCAGCACAGAGGCCAGGGAGAAGGGAGGGGCATCCTCAAGGTCATTCAGGTATCAGAGAGCCCTGGAGCCCTTTCCCTTTCCCTGGAAGTGCTGCAGTGCCAGTGGAGGTGGTGGTTAGCCTTTAAGAGCAGGGGTACGTGAGATGCTGGGTGACATCAGTAGTACAGGAGGCTGGTTCTTCTCCCCAGCTGCCAGCCCTTCAATTGGAAGACACCCAGGAGCCTTTCCAATTACCCATGCCAACCACTCAACCCTTTTACCCCCCTCCAGCCCCCACTATCCAGAACCCTGGCCAGGCCCCACAGCTGTGAGTCAGGATCAGAAAAGACCCCTCCCCCAGCTCCCTGGAGTTGACAGGAGACTAAAGGGGAGAAATCTAATTCCCCCCACCCCCCACCCCCTGCTACCAGGCACCTACCCCAAACTCTCTACTCTCCCTTCCTCCCCACCCCCCACAGAGCCTGGAAGTCACAGCAGTTTAGGGGAAGGGGGGGCGGGTGGGTGGGAAGCAGGATCCAGCAGCTGCTCTGGGGACAAGAGAGGAACAGTTCATTCACCCCAGGTCCCCCAGGGCTGAAGCAGCTCGTCCAAGATCTGAGTTTAAAAATAAGTTAGGGCTGTCTTGGTGTATGCCTGGGGCTCTTTCTTGATCTCAATCTTACTGTCTCAGGTCCTGTCCTCATGGGGGCTCAGTTGGTCCAGAGTTTGTGTTTCCCCACATTCTTGCTTCCCAATCTTCCTGGCCGAGTCTCCCAGGCTCTGCCTTGGAAGCTGTCAGTGTGCCTCCATTAAATCTCAGTCTCTCGGTGTCCAGCGCTGTTCCACTCAGCTCCCGTCTGTCTCTGCACACTTCACAGCCGCCTGTATGTTGTGGGAGTCTCCGTATCTCTGACTGGCTATCTCCCAACTGCCCGCCTCTGTGAATTTCTACCTCTGAACACCCAGGTCTGGTTTCTTAGTGTCTCTATTGGGAGGAATGCCTTGGTCCCCACCCTACCCGAATTCTCCACCTCTTAGCATCTCTGTATGCCTGAATGTCCTACAGGCCTCACAGAGGCTGATTCTCCACGGGCTAAGGAAGCTTACTTGTCCAGGACCCTCCAAGGGCCTGCGAAGGGCCCTATGGAGTGCTCGCTGGAGTCATTTTCCACTGTTTCCTAAAATGCTCCGTAAAACCAGCGTCCGTCCCTATGCGTCAGGTCCCTCCGTGACGCTACGCTCAAGTGTCTGCCCCTGTTTCGAACAACTCTGTAGCCTCCTCTCTAAGCCTGTAGCTCGTGTCCCGGTCCCGGTCTCCCGCTCCACAGGGCTTTCTGGGAGCCTCAAGCTTTTCAAACACTCCGGGTCTCTATTTCGAGACACGGGCTTTTCCATTTCAAACTTGGCCCCCTCCCCCGCCCAACTCCCGCAGCAATCCCCGCCCCTCCCAGGCTGCCGGGAGCCTTGCGGTCCGGAGGACGCCCTCCAGGGCTTAGCGCCCTTGGCGCCCGCGGCGGGACCCAGGCGGAGGCAGTGGGCGGGCCGTCTCCGCTCCCTTCGCGGCTCGAGGGCTGGGGCCGGGAGCTGGGATCGGTGCCGGGCTCGGCGGGGATCTCACCTCGAAGCGGGCGGCCGCTGCGGGGCGCGGTGCTCGCGGCGGCGGCGGGGGGTGGTGCGAGAAACAGGGCCCGCGTCCCTCGGCGGCTTCTACCTGCGGGGCGGGCCGGGCCGTGCGGGGGCCGAGCGAGCTGCCGGCGAGGCTGCCGGCTGCACTCGGACTGTGACCCGGACTGTGTGGGCGAGTGGGAGCGCGGCCCCAACCCCTCCCCGAGGAAGTGAGCGCCGGGGCCGGCCCCGCCCGGACCCCGCCCCCAGCCGCCCCTGCCCGCTGGGTGCGGACCCCGCCCCCCGCCCCAGGTCCCCGCGGCGGGGTTGGGGGGGCAGACCCCACCCCCGCTTTCCTTTTAGCCTGGAGCCCGCCCCAGCCCCCCTCCTCAGGCCCAGTCTAACCTGGCTTTTCCAACCTTCCTAGGCGGCCGGGACCCCGCCCCTGTCCCCTCCCTGAAGCTTTTGCTCTCCTCTCTCCCTGCTCCCCCCTCTTCTTCCCCCGCCCCCCAGCTGCAAGCGGGAGATTGCTGTATTCAATCTCAGGCAGGGTACAGGACCCAACCAACAGAGCTCCATTTGGGGACCAAGAGTCTTCATGCCCTTTTCGTGTCCTCCCTCCACCCCCAATTTACCCCCAGGGGTCACATTCAGCCCGAGTTTGTGAAAGAGGCTTTAATCCAGCGTGGAGGAGAGGGTAGTTTTTGACTCTCCTGGCTTGGCCCTGTCAGTGACCTAGGTGATCTGTGGGACCATGGAGTGAAGGGAGGACCCCCACTCCACCACCTTACGGCCTTGACTTTCAAAGGGCTTTATTCCATAACTCCGAGTGGCAAAAACAGAAGTAGCCACCTCCTTGCCTCCAGCTGCATCCTGGGATTGAGAAGTCTGGCCTAGGTTTCCCCAGTGCCCAGGAATAGCTTTGACCTTTGAAGCCCAGGGGAGACCCTAATCCTGGCCTCATGAGTTTTGGGCTTCTCAGGGAGGGGTGTGAGGACTGTGCATGGTCAGGGCACTCCAGCAGAGGTGGAGGGAAGTGGAGGGAAGTGAAGGGAAGCCCTCCTTCCTCACCTCTACCCTTTCCAACTCTCTGGCTTCCTTGCTCTGCCTGGAGGGAGGACTGGCGTCTACCAGGGACACAAAGCCCTACTAGGTCTTTGAGGCCGCCCCCTCTGGGATCCTCAGGCTTGTCACTAGGAATAAATAGCCTCACTCTGGAAGGGTAGGGGAGGGAGGAGGAGGCTCTGCTGTGCTGTTTGCAAAACAAGAGACAACACACCAAGCTTGGAAACACCTTAGCATCTAGAGTAGAGATTCAGGTGGGCACAGAAGCTGTCCCACACCACAGGCTGGGTCCAGTTACGCTGGCCCGGCAGAGCCTCATTCCCACTCAGGCTGGGGCTCCTGAGCATCCTCCTCTGCCATCTCTTAATCACTGGCTTGCCTTCCTGGATCCCAAGGCACCCCTGAGGCCGGGTTTCCTTTCGAAATTAACTAATTGCTTGTTCATTATTGTTGTTCTTGATGCCTAAACTATAAGAGTCATGAGGTCAGGGAATGGGTCCTTCCTGATCACCACCCTGTTCCCAATACCTACTCTAATGTTTGGGTAATAAATATTCGGTGATGAATGAATGACAGATATGCTTCAGTTTGGATTCCTCCTTTCCCCCTACTTTGGACCACAGACACCCGCTATCTGGAATCCAGGGAGTAAGCAGCCAGCCCATGGGCAGGCCCTTTTTCTGGGATTTGTGTTAAAGGTGTAGGTGACTCCTAGTGCTAGGGAGCGCAAGGAAGATGGCCTGTTGGGAGTAGATGGCAAAAAAGTCTCCTCTGGCCCTGACAGGTGTGACTTGGTTGGTTGGGTGTCTTCCCACAAAGATAAAGGTCACCGGTTTGGTTCCTGGTCAGGGCACATGAGTTGCAGGCCCTGTCCCTGGTTGGGGCACCTGTGAGAGGTAACCAATCGATGTTTCTCTCCCTCCCTTCCCCTCTCTCTAAAAATAAACAAATGAAATCTTAAAAAAAAAAAAGTCTCCTCTGGGGGAAGGGAACTTGTGAGCAGCCTTCAGAAAGGGAGAGGTTATGAGTGAACAAAGATGGTGCTGGATCAAAGGTAGAGTTGGGGTCTCTGATTTTATTCATGGTTTCAACAGCCTTAATAAGAGCCCATCTTCCCTGCGGTCTTACTTTGCACCAGCCCTGTCTGGACATTTTACGTACATTAATGCACTTGGTTTTCCAACAACTTTTGAAATATGTATTTTTATCCCTGTTTGAAGGATGAGGAAATGGAGACAGAGAGGAAGTAAGTAACCTGCCAATGATGCCAGAGCTAATAATGGCAGACTAGATTCAAATTCAGTCAAATGTCAAAACTCGTAATGCCAAAAAAGAATGAGAGGGCTAAAAATGTTAATACTTTTTCTCCCACCTTTTAAGTTCTTCTGGCTGAGCTAATCATCAGCTTAACAGAGAAGATTAACAGGAGGAAATAAAAACTTTTAATACATTTTCATGGGGAATCCACATAAGCATGAAAATTCCAAAGAGAGCGAGGCAACAACGGGTGTATAAGACCTTTTTGGACAGAGGAGAAAGAGTGGGGTGCGGAATAGGGTATTAGATGTGAGGTTTTGTTTCTTAATTAACAGCTTAAAATCAACATCCCAAAAAGGCAGCTTCAGGGTAGCCAAACTTTGGTCCCCTTCAAGAGCTTAACTGTTAGACTCTACAGCCTCTGCAGTCATTTAACCTCTTTAAGCCTGTCTCCTCATCTGCTAAGAGTGGATGACTTCCTGTCTCACTACATTCTTGTGAGGGTTGGATGAGAACACATAGTAGGTATTCAATATGTGGGATCTCTCCCTAGCACATACACTCCCTTTCATGGTCAAGTGTTAAGGTTCTGCTGCTGGACCTGGAGTCTGGAGGCAAGAAAAGTTAGGAGATTTCTGATTTGGCTCCGCCTGCAGAAGGGAAACTGGTGTAGGGCAGTTCCTAATGCCTAAACTATAAGGGCCCCTTTGGTTCCTCTCTCCATTTCCAGCTCCCCAGTGGGCTCACATTTCCCTGCCTGCTCTATTTCCAGTGACCCAGGAGGACGTGCCCAGGGAGGTCTAGGGATCAGCCACATGGACTCCCTGTTCCTGTTTCCCATCAGTCTTCCCCCCCTCTCCAGGGAACAGGTGTGTCTGAGCCTGGGGCTGAAGCAGAGCCCGAGTGCTGGACCGACTAGCCTTGGGTAAGTGAGATCTTGTTGTCCCTTCACTCACTCAGGAGGTCCCCACACACCCTTCCTTATCTTGTAGTGAAAGGGGGCTTGTTCAGGGTCTCCCAACTGTTCTCTCACCTTGGGTTTTCAAAAGGAGGCCTTGGGTGATGACTGACAGGCCTCTCATGGTTTCCTCTGGGTGCTGAATCACTCTGGTGCTTGTAACCACAAGCCTTCTTGCAGTGAGAAAACTTCTTTCCTTCTTTGGGTGTATTGCTCACTCTTACCCCTTGGGCTGCCTAGGGTTCCTTCCCCCTTTCAGTGCTGAGCTCTCTTCTCCTGGGTACACCCACCACTCAATGCCTTCTTCAGAGGGAGTGGTAGGAGTGACTGGGGCTGCCACCTCCTCACTCTGCCTGATGGCAGGGCTTCTTAATCAAAATGAGGCTAGAAAGGTGGGCATAGGCCAGATCCTGAAGGGCCTTGTCTTTCTTTCAATGGCTAAGTAACCATTTTGTTAGTGCATGTGGCCCTAGTTGGAGAAGGCTCAGACTCAGAGGCAGAAAAAATTTAACACCGCAGATCTCAGCTACTCCCAGCTTTTTCATGCTCACTGGTCTCCTGGACTTGTACCTCCAGGGATAGAGTAGAGGATTTCCCCTGAGCTCCTGAACTGGAGGAGTGAGCCCTGTTGTGTGAAATGGGTACAATTACAGACCTCGTTGAAGGTTAGCTTTACGTGGTGGAAAAGAAACCAAATGCCTCTGGAGTGCTCTGCTGTGCCCAACCCTCTGTCTGTCCTTACAGTTAGATTTAGGAATTAATAACAATAATAGCTCCACTTGATTGTGACCTCAGCATTTTAAATTTAATGCTCACAAGCATTCTGTGGGTATAGTATTATTACCCTAATTTTACAGATGGGACGACTAAGGTTGAGTGAAGCTAACTTTGTCTTGGCTGGTAGCAGGTAGGATCAGAACGCACCTCTATGGTTTAAGGTCCTAATCATTTACATTGTACTGCTTCTGACACATTCTGTCAACCAGCCAGTCTCTTGAGAGTGTAAGATTCAGAACTTTAAAAATACTACCATGATATGACTCCTCCATTCAACTGTGAGCCCTTTGATGACCCTATGAGGCAAGCAGTGCATGACAGTATTAATATTTTACGGATGAGAAAAATGATGCTCCTTAAAGTCAAGGTTCTTGTCAGAAATCGCAAAGCCAGTAAATGACACAGGCAGACATGATTTTAAGGTGGTTGTCTCTTTATAGCAGGGGTCCCCAACCCCCGTGCCTTGGACCAGTCAGTACCAGTCCCTGGCCTGTTAGGAACCGGCCCCCTAAGTAAGTTCGCCTGAGCTCCGCCTCCTGTCTCCGACCCCCACCCTCCCCGCCCCTTACCGAGTCCTCAGCGGGAGGTGAACGGCGGCAGGAAAGTGAAGCTCGCCTGAGCTCGGCCTCCTACACTGCCCCCGCCCCCCGAACTCCGCCTCCTGTCCCACTCCCCACCCCCTCCAGTCCGTGGAAAAACCGGTCCCTGGTGCCTAAAAGGTCGGGGACCAACGCTCTACAGAATGCTTTTTCTGGTACATCCTAAAATTCACAGAACTCCGGACTTTAAACGCACCGCCTAAACACTGCAAGTGGAATACGGCCGTAGGTGACTGCGCACGCGCACACTCAAGCTTGGCTCGGCCGAGACCGCGCCAGCCACGTGTTCCCAGGTGCCAACGCGGAGCAGAGCGCGAAGGCTAGGTACACGTAGACAAGCGCTGGCGAATGAGAACTGGCTCCTGCAGTGTCACGAGACTAGGCTTAGAGAACTACGCTTCCCAGAAGCAGCCTGTGGTGGACGCCTTGGCTACAGGATGTATTTCCGGAGAAGCAGGCGCCGCATAGGCTGCGGAGAGGAAGTGGGCGGTTCTAAGCTTCCAGCAGCTCGGCCTGTTCCCGTAGGATCGGTGAACGCCGCGATTGAGGTGGTGTGGGTTGTCTACTGAGCTTTCCCAAGCGTGAGGAGGCATGGCGGCTGCTTTTCGGAAGGCAGCTAAGTCCCGACAACGGGAACACCGAGAGCGAAGCCAGGTAGGATCGCATAGGCTCCACGAACGCCGGCTTATGACCCCACGTGCTTTCTCGCCCCATCCCCCTCTCTGCCTGCGGGTCCCGGTGTCTTCTGTGCTCAGATACTGCATTTAAATTAATGCAAGTATATGGTATTAACGCCGGCGTGCCTGGGGTGGAGCCACGGTCTCTGGAAGGCAGGGCCTTGTTCTCTCCCGGAAGGGCACGGGGATGATCAAAGCTATCTTGTAAGTTTTCACTCGGGTAATTAAAGGGGATACTGTGTATAAAGGGCTTAATTTCTGTGGAAGTTGAGGTCAAAGTTCATATAGCCAATAAGTGCGCCGACTGGAAGTGGCACTCACATCTAAAGGTGCTCAGCTCTGCTCGCTTGGGTAAAGGAGCTGTGACCGAAGAGACGGGTATTATAAATATGGTATCATCGTGGGCTTTTTGGACCATGATCTGCCACATATGCTTTTTGTGTATGTTTCACCGAGTAATGTTGGTGTTTTCCATCTCCATTATACAAATGAGGAAACTGAGGTCCAGAGAGCAAAGTGACTTGCCAGTCACAAACCATTCAGGCCAAAAAAACAATTGTAGGACTTTTCTGGAGGGTATGTGCGGGGAACATTGAGTGAAAAATCACGTAATGTATGCAGAATCAATTTATTCCACTTTTACACTTGTGAGACAAATTATGGGAATCAAATATCCAATCCAGAAGGGTCCGTAGAGATATCTGGTCTAGTTCCTTTTACAGATGGGAAATGAAGAGAGAAGGATGTGTCTGAAGTTGTGTCGTCAAACGATGGGGTGGAACTAAGGCCTCTTAACCACAGTTTAGTCTTCCTACTTAATAGCATTTATCAGACATTTACTGCCTACTTGGCTGTGTGCTCCGTGGTGTGCTGGGAGCAGTAGTGTAATTTGCCTTCTTGTTTGGCTCTATCTGTGGATTACTAAAAGTAATAGTAGCTAGAGGTGTTTACTTGCTCTATGCCAGAGCCAGATAAAGTACAAAATGCTGTCCTTTCATTATCTCATTTAACTCTTAACAGTGTTTGGAAGTAGGTGCTTATTGCGTTCTCTCATTTGCATATGGGGAAACTGAGGTTCAGATAGGTAAAGTAATTTGCCCAAAGACATACAGCTCTAGTTGGAAAGTGGCAAATCCAGGAATCAGACCAAGTGTTTAAAATCCAGAGGCTACTAAAAGATAAATGAAGAGGCAATTTTATGAGAGGTGACGCATAAAAGATGCCAAGTGAAGAATTTAGGTGGGAAGAGTAGAGTTGCTGAGAGAAAGCCTCGTGGTGAAGCTTGTTGGACTTGGAAGGCAATAATAGCTGCCACTTTTTGAGCACTGACTATGTGTTAGGTACAGCTCAACATGCTGTACAAGGATTATCTCATATAATCCTACAGCAATCCCTATGAGGTGGATGATATCCTCATTTTACAAATGAGGCATCTGCTGCTTCAAGAGATTTGAATAGTGCATCCAAAGTAACAGTCGTTAGTAGTTGATTTGGGTTAGCAGAGAAGACAGGGCTTTCGAGGCTGGTCAACAAGACACAGCTATGTCTGAAGAGGATTAGAGGATCTCTTTGGGAGAGGTGTGGAGAAGGCCATGCTGGAAGGCACACTGGTAAGCACATGGACAAGAGCACTCCCTATTTGGGTCAGGTTTGGACTTTATTCCATAGGTCCTTCACTGAGGCAGTGGGGAACTATGGAAGATACTCTGTATGGAGGGTGATGTGTAATTGTGTGAACAATCTGATGCAATGCCAGGTGTTTTTCTTTAATGGTGATGTACATTCAAGTGGACATGGCAGCTTTCAAGATTTCTGCCTCGTGATGTTGCCCTTGAGTTTTCTTTCTGCACTCTCTGTCAACTTCCCTTAGTCTGGTGTAATTAAAATAAAAATTATCAGGAGAGGTTTTGGGTGTTATTTTTAAATATTGAATTATTTATTGCATCACTTCAGGGATCAAAGATGAGAAAGGCGACTGTTAAAATTCCACCAAAATTATTATAAAAGTTTAAACAATAGAGAAGTGTATGCACTTCCTCAAAAGTCAAAAATTATCCAGAGCAGAAGAGGATGCAGTCCAGTGGGGAGGAGACGGGCACAGACTGGCCCCAGGTGGAATGGGCTCTCCTTTTAGCTTTCCCAGTTACTAGTTCTATGTTCTTGGCCAAGTCATTCTCTAAACCTTATTCCCCTTTGGAATATTGGGGTAAACATTTCTTTGTCTGCTTTACTTCCCATGATTGTTGTGGGGGTTAAATGAGATCATATTTAACGATCATAGCAGATTGCTTTGTAACAGAGTAAGTACTGAATAAATGTGGCTTATTATGATGATGTAGGCAAAAACATCTAGCACAGACCCTGGCGTATATTAAATGCTCAACAAATGGTAGCTCGTAGAAAGATATACCAAGGTATAATCCCTGTACTTTCCATTCTATCCAGGTGCTACAGAAAGTATGGTCTGTCATACTTGGTTTCCTCTCATACTTTGTACCAAAGGTACAATAAGAACAGTAAGCATATGCCAATCACCTGCTATGTGCCAAGCCATGTGCTGCCTCTGCCACTTACAGAATCTTATTTAATCCTTATGATAATCACGAGAAGTGGGTACTATGATTCTCATTTTATAGTTAGGAAACAGCAGCTCAGAGAAGGTAAATGACTTGCCCAAGGTCACAGATTGTTAAAGAGGTAAAACTTGGATTTCAGCCCAATTCTGCAGACTCTAAATTTAGCTCTCAGCACAGTTGCCTCCCTGTTACTATAATTTCCCTTCATAGTATTTTATAAACCCTTGGATTAAGTCTGTAGTAATTTTAGTACAACTGGCAACTGCTTGCTTAGTGCCGAGTCATTGTTGCTTCTCTCTGTCCTTAATAGGCCAAGAAACCTACTATGGCAGTGCTTGTGACCTCTCTGGCGTCCGCACTGTTCCTCTCATCCTTGGGCAGAGCCCAGCTGGGGGAGGGAAGGGAACAGGGTATCGAGTTGGCTCCAAGGACATGGGTTTACTTACCACTCCAGAGATGCTTCTTCCCTTCATGTCGTGAGGAAACTTAATGCTTCTTTTTTGTCTTCTAGCCTGGCTTTCGAAAACATCTGGGCCTGCTGGAGAAAAAGAAAGATTACAAACTTCGTGCAAAGTGAGTTCAATCTTTCTAGTAAAGATGCTGCCAAGAAAGCTTACAGCCTCCCTGCATTGCAGTTGAATTGCCTGAATGTCCTACAGGGGATAATTTCCTGCCATTGATAAAATGGCCAAAACTCTGGCAGCCTGTCAGATCCTTGTCTGTGACCCTAAACTTTCTGTATGTAGGCAGAGCATTATTTATTTAACTAGTTGCATTGTGAAATTTTTTATTATGTTGCTACAGATCATTTTCTCATAGTGGCTTTGATTTGCCCCTGCCTTGGTGTTTGAGCCAAAAACTGAGTCTTTTTTCTCTCCCTTTTCTTTATGTGCAAGATATAATCTAAAATTCCAGTTGTTGAGCCTCTTGCATCACTGTGTGTGTGGTGTGGAATGAAGAGATGTGAAAGATAGATTCATGAGACTGAGCGTGGGTGATAATGAACTCTGAAAACATTTTATAAAACAATTATCCCCATTCTTCTTCTTTTTTAGCGCTTTATTTGTAAAATACTCAAACTGCTTTATAATTATTTGTTAGCCATGCATGTCAGCTGAAGCCCATGGTACAGATGGTGGGCAGAAGATGGATTGCTCTGGGTCCCAGAGTCTTTAAGGCTAATAATAATAATAACTGAGGGCTGTTACTGGGCCAGGCAGTGTTGTAGGAGAGGTACAGTTTTTACACTCATTCCTCCCAACAACCTTCTGGGATACTACTGTTAACATACCCACTTTACAGAGTAAATGGGGATACAGAGTGGTTAACTAACTTATCCAAGGTTACTCAGCTGGCAGTGGTGGAGTCAAGGCTTGAACCCAGGTGTCTGGCTCCAGAGTCCATGGTTCTAGTCACTGTGCTGTACAGCACTGTGTGATTTCTGAATCTTATTTAGTCACTTGGTGCCTGCGCTTTCCTCAGAACCCAGTTTAAAAAAAAAAAAGATTTTATTTATTTTTAGAGGGGTAGGGAGAGAGAAAGAGAGGGAAACATCACTGTGTGGTTGCCTCTTGCACACCCCCTACTGGGGACCTGACCTGCAACCCAGGCATGTGCTCTGGCTGTGAATTGAACCAGCAACCCTTGGGTTTGCAGGCCTGCACTCAATCTACTGAGCCGCTCCAGCCAAGACAAGAACCCAGTTTTAATTTGTGCTTTGTTTTTGTTTCGCCTTGTAATGATATAAAGGGCACTAAAACACATGTGAGATAGGAACAGTTAGTTTCAGGCCGGATTGGGCCAGGAGAGGACCTACAGAGACAGGAGCTCAGCATTAGTGATGGTGGAGGGTGGATCAAATCATTGCTTTGGCTTTTTTGAGTTTCATTTTGTGTATACTTTAGATGCTTGTAAAGTGTGCTTGTTGTGTTTTTTTTTTTTTCCCTTCTTTTCACTACGAACTTTGTTTAACCTGCTTTTTAGTGACTACCGGAGAAAGCAAGAATACCTCAGAGCTCTCCGGAAGAAAGCTCTTGAAAAAAATCCAGATGAATTTTACTATAAAATGACTCGAGTTAAACTTCAGGTGGGTGTCTAATGGATCAGTTGGTGTTTTAAGCTTCAACATAATAAGTAAAGTAAGGATGGGGGAGGAGATGGAGGGAAAGAACGTTGGCCTTCATTTAGCCGCTCTCTCGAGTTGGTCCAGGTGCTCTTGGCCAGTGTCCTAGGCAAAGCTGCCCCTTCATGAGGAGCCTGCATTTCTGCCCCTGACTCTGAGTTGTCTTATGCCTGGAGCTGTTCTAAGAATGGATGATCAGAGGTGCTAAATTGACCGTGCACCTTGAGGCTTACCACACTGTATTGCTGTTGCATAAAGCATTTGGTTGTCTTCGTTCCAACAATGAACTGTGTCAACAACTTAATAATGGTTTTAATCTAATAGTTAATGCATTTTTCAAATTTGGATTTTTAGGATGGAGTTCATGTTATTAAGGAGACTAAGGAAGAAGTAACTCCAGAACAGCTGAAACTGATGAGAACTCAGGATGTCAAATATATAGAAATGAAAAGGGTTGCAGAAGCTAAGGTAACAACTGAAACTCTTTGTTCTAGTGTATTTTTGTTGGCTAGGAAGAGATATAAATTCATCAGGCTAAAGCTATACATTGATTTCTTCTCACATTTCCAATCTTAAAGTATGCTTAATTGTGAAAGTGATTTAGAAACATGGCAGAGTGGAAAGAGGTTAATGTGGCAAATGAGACAGACTTAATTTGAATTCTGGCTCTGCCATTTATTAGCCCCACGATTATGGACCAGTTAATCTCTGTGAAGCTCTTTCTTCATTTCTATCTCATTGGATTGTTGTAAGGATTAAATAAGTTTTGGATTACGCTACACCTAACGTGATTGGTGCTTGATAAATGTTACTGGTTCTTTCCTTTAAAAGAATGAAACAATTTCTTTGCTGGCTGGTGATAATGATGTGAAATGGTATAAATTTTGCAAATTCATTTCTAATATCCTAAAAGAACACAATTTAAAATAAGACCATATTCTGTATTCTAGAAAATTGAAAGACTAAAATCAGAGCTCCATCTGCTGGATTTCCAGGGGAAGCAACAAAATAAGCATGTGTTCTTTTTTGACACTAAAAAGGAAGGTATGAAATGTATAAAGGTTCCTGGGACAGTCTAGCATGTTCGTCTGTGTGGTCTGGTGTTAGAGACAGTGCCTTATGGATTGTCTTGACTTACAGTTGAACAGTTTGACGTTGCAACTCACCTTCGAACCGCCCCGGAGTTAGTGGACAGGGTCTTTAATAGACCCACGATAGAGACCTTGCAGAAGGAGAAAGTGAAAGGAGTTACTCATCAGACTCGATTGAAGGTAATTTTCTCTATTTTTCTTTTTTGCCACCGAATTTAATATAATTACTTGTGGAAAACTCATTAAATTCCCTTAGCAGGAGAGTTTGATGATGGGAATGGGAGTGGAGGAGAGTTTCTTGGTTTCTAAGATTGGCGTATGGGTCACATTGTGGCCAGGAGCTCAGGTTTTGGCCTTTTGTCCTGCATTTGAACCTGAGCTCTCATCCTGGGCTTTGTGTTTTTAACGCTTGTAACAAGTGCCAACAGTTTTTTCTTTTTCTTTTAAATGAATTTTAGACAGGGCAGGTTGGGATTGGGGAGAGAAAAACATTGATTTATTGTTTCACTTATTTATCCGTTCACTGGTTGCTTCTTGTATGTGCTCTGACCGGGGACCGAACCCACCTTGGTGTATTGGGATGATGCTGTAACCGACTGAGCTACCCAGTCAGGGCTAGGTGTCAACAGTTTTAAAATATGGAGGAAGAAGGGGGCACTGAAGATTAAGGGATCCGGTATACTTTGATATTGAACCTTTACCAGTGATGCACATATCAAAAAGTCTTTAATATGCATTTGTACCAGAAATTTTTATCTTATTTTTTAATCCGCATCTGAGGATATGTTTATTGACTTTAGAGAGAGGAACGGGGAGGTGAGAGAGAAACACTGATTGGCCGCCTGCTGTATGCACCCCTGCTGGAGAGCGAACCCACAGCCTTTTGGCGTGCGGGATGATGCTCCAACCGAGTGAGCCAGCCGGCCACGGCTGCACCGGATTTTGAATTGACTTTCCTTATGGTGTTTTCCATCACTGTAACTGGGCTTCTATCGAAGACATGCTTTTTCTCAAAGCCGTCTGGAGTTGAACTCTCACTTCTGACTGATTCATTTAGAAAAAATTCTGTGAATGTGTTTCAGTCAGACAGCTGTTCTATTTTGATTTGAATCATTTACACCGCATCAGCTTTGCTTCCAATGTTTAATTTCACAGCAGTTTCTCTAGCTCAGAGGCAGCTAAAACTTGCTTTAGTAATATAAATACCCCTAATTAGTTTGACTATATTGGGTAATCCCATAAATTTGACAGTCTGTGCAATAAAGTGAAAACAAAAGCTGTCTGAAACCACTGCTGTGAGACTGTTCCAGGATTAGGGAATTGTTTAAGTCTGAGGCCCAGTAATATCCCCCTCTGTGCAGATAACACTCCCAGCTGAGGGGCTGGCTGACTAGTGCTCTTGTGATAACCCTGTTTGCCAATTAGCTGTATTTTCAATGGGCTGTGTCACTGATATTTTTGAAGTATTGTGGTAGTCCCTAAGGAGATTAGTGTTCCCAATTTCTGTGTAGAATAGCTCACTAACGTACCTTTTGAGAAACTGGAAAAGTTTGCATCTTACCATTTTTGTCTGGTAGTGTTGTTTGTTTTAATGGTTGCGTTTAAGGCAGAATTGTTTTTATTAAGAGACTGCTGGTGGGTGGATAGCAAAGGAATGTTCAGTCTGTAAGTTGGAGGTGGGTGGGCAATCCATAAATGGGCTTTAGGAAGTCTATTCACGCCCTCGTCCCACACTGAAATTTTGAGTAAATAGGTATGTGTGTGTGTGCAAATTTAGATCGTTTAGTTTTGCCTTTCTCAACAGCGGTTCGACGAGAGAATAAGCTCTACAAATTTGTATGCACGTATGTACATTTATTTCAAGAGATAATCCAAAACTTTCATCAGTTTCTCAGAGCTTTACAATTTCCCCCAAATTGAAGGACTAGTGGTCTTGGAGGAGTCATCAGCAGTGAGAAATCTCAGGTCACTTCTGCTGAAAAGGCCTTCCTGTAGTCCGTGGTTCTCAGACACCAGCACACTTCGCCTGGTGCTCTTCTCTCTTCCTTTACTCGCTGTGTGTAGGGTTTCCAGTACGGGTCCATTTCTGCAGCGCCTTAGGTAACCGTACACTCACATGAAGGTTAAAGCAGCTTAGTGTAGTAGTGGAAAGATTCCTGAGGACTGCGAGACTGTCCTGACTCTGCTCCAGGTGAACCATGTGTCTGGGGCAAGTTTCCAAGGTTCCGTTCAGCTCTAAAAGGTCAGTTCCTAAAATTGACAACTTTATAGTATCATTACTTGATAGTAACTTACAGTACTGTTGATTCTGGACTAACGAGGGAGTTGATAAAGCCATTTACGCATTGGGGCTTAAGTGGATTAAGAAACGGTTTGTTACTCGTTTTTTATCTTAAGTGTTTTATTGAAAATGTGTCTCCTCTGCAGCGGATAGCTCAAGAAAGGCAAAAGCAGTACAACTGCCTGACACAGCGGATTGAACGCGAGAAGAAATTGTTTGTTATTGCACAGAAAATTCAAACACGCAAAGATCTTCTGGTAAGGAGAGAGAGCCTGCGGCCTTCATTTCCCCCGCCCCTTGTAAAGGTCTTAACTGAGACTGGATTTCAGCTGTGTGTAAATCAGCCCCAGTGAAAATGTCTGCTCCTTAGGGGCAGTGGTTTGAGCCCGTGTCTGTTACTCTGACAATGTTGAAATGTGCCTTGATTAAGAAGGTAATAAGAGTCTTATTAGTCAGTGCTTTGGAACAGCAAAGGGTAGGATCGGGTGGCATATGAACTTTATAGCTTATGAGCAGCTATCTTTAACATTTAAACAGGTTAACAAAACAGTGCATGTCACTCATTGGTGTCTAAAAATAGGCAACATTGTGTAGATAAATAACAGAGCTGAGGAATATACAATGCCCCTTCCATATTAGGATCCCTCTAAATGTCAGATTCTTCAGCTTTGCAGATCATTTAAGGTGTGCCTTTCTCATCTGGGGTTCATGAGAGAATAAACTCTACCAAAAAAAAAAAAAAAAAAAAGATTTGATTAGTTTCTTCTCAGTTTTCTCAAGAATCTCCACACACTAGTGCTGTCGTCGATTCCCAGGGGAGAAGCTGCTTCTGCGCATCCTGGGGATGCCGTGGGCTGGCTGGGCTTTGTCTCTCCTGCACTTGAGAAGGGCTGGAGGAGGGGTTTCCTAATAAGTAGTCTCTGAACTTTCCTATTTTACAAAACCGTCTCCTACTTCCTACTTCCTGGTAACCTTTTTATTCTTTTACAGGATAAAACTCAGAAGGTGAAGGTAAAGAAAGAAACGGTGAACTCCCCAGCTATTTACAAATTTCAGAGTCGTCGAAAACGTTGAGTGTTCTATAAGCCTTGTCATTCCATGTGGGAAAGAATTCCATGTTCTTTTATTCCAATGATTTCAAATTCCATTAGTGTAAATGACATTGTTTTCTTGTTTGTAATTATAATTTATTGCAGATCTGACATTTGATATAAACAACATTAAAGCCCCTTCCCCACTCTTTCTGTTTTTGGGTTGTGAAATTAGTCTTGTTTTTATATACTTACTTTTTTTCATTATGAAAGTTATATAATCTCATTAAAACAAATTTGGGGAATAAATGAGTTCATTCATAATCCCAGTGCTTATTCAAGAACAACAGATAGTTATTGCATACTTACAGTGCTGGGATCCAGGACAGTGGAGGTGAACAGTACATGAGCATTCTGGCTTATGTTCATTTTGTAAAGGTATGCACTGAATTTTGTGTATGTTTTTGTGTTTTGTAGTTGTAAATATAGTAAACAATTTTATACTGTAGTTTTTTCACTTAAATCATTTGCTCTTATCCATTTGTTACATCACAAAATTTTTAAAAAGCAATAAATGTTCATAGTAAAAATTAAAATATTCTTTTTGTTTGCATAATGTTTTATCCAGTGGATGGACTGATTTTACCCTCATTCATTCTACATTTTTGGATATTCAGGTGGCTTCATGAGTTAGCCAAGGAGGAATTTTTTTTCTCCCACACTTTACAGCTGCAGATAGAAACCCTTGGGAACTAGGAACCCACCCACCTATTCTCTATTGAAGTTCAAATCTGAACAGAACTTGCTCTCTGCTCCTGGCCTCTGCACTCCGGGCCAGTTCATGAATTCAAGGCTGTAAGCGGCTTGCGACAGCCCTGCTTTGCCTTAGAGAGGTGGACCCCAGAGTGTGTGGCAGGTTTCTTTTCTCAGAGACCTGCACTTTCCTTGCCCATATAGGGATGGTAGGCCAGGGTGGTTAGGGCAGAACTGAGCATGCCCAGAGCAAATGTGGGTGAAGCAGGGTTTATACCTCGACCTCCTGGGGTGGGGGGCGGGCAGCTGTATATGGATTTTTTTTCTTAAGATTTTATTTTTAGAGAGAAGGGAAGGGAAGGAGAAAGAGGGAGAGATAAATTAATGTGTGTTTGCCTCTCACGTGCCCCCTACTGGGGACCTGGCCCACAACCCAGGTTTATGCCCTGGCTGGGAATTGAACCAGCAACCCTTTGGTTAACAGGCCGGCGCTCAATCCACTGAGCCACACCAGCCAGGGCACGGATTTTAATAATTGGAAAAAAAACCCCAAAACATTAAAACTTAAGTTCCCATGACTGCTAGGTACAAAGCCTGAAATGAAAGCCTGCTGTTACCTCATATTACATACAGTGGGATATAGGTCTGGGGGCCCTGGAAAATAGGAAGGAGGGCCAGAGGAATGGAAGCCCGAAGCGTTAGCCTTCAGGAAGTACGTACTTCCAGCCTGCTTCTGATCTCCCTCCTGGGGAGGTGCCAGATACACCAAATACACGGTGAGTCTAATGACAAGGGACTTGAGTCCTAGCCAGGGGAGGAACTCACCACATAGATGTTGGACAGGAGTGAGCAGGCCAGTCAGCAACCTGTTCTGGGACAAAGTGGCTTGATCGCTGCCCTTACTGTCCCTTGCCTCCGTGGGTTAGGAAGGTGGGGGATGGTGGGGTATTTACCTAGATGCCTTCTTAAGCACACACCCACACAAAGGTACACTTTCTAGGCTTTCACGTTAGTAGATGGCACAAGGCACATGCTACTCAGGCCTCACAAAGAGGTGCGTGCACATCCACGTACCCTCTGGTAAGTGAACACACCACCGGGGTTTCAATGTGGAGGTTACACTCACACAAGTCCTTATGTGATAGGTAGGTACCCCTTGTGCATGAAGAGGCATGTGCACAGGCTAAAGGGAGCTGGAAAGCCTATCCTCTTGGAGTAGCATAATTTCTAGGTTGGAGATAATCAGAACCATAGGGGATAAAGCCAGATGTCAAACTACTGTCACACCCACGGCCGTCTCTGAGGCCCACACATTGTAAGGGAAGAGATTGGCTGTCCCCTGTGAATAACCAGAGACATGGGCTCCAGCTTCAAGGAGCCTGGAGTCCTGAAAATAGGCCAGGGCCTCCATGGCTTTGGTGTTTAGTGGGACCTCAGACTCTTGGCTCCTGGCTTGGTTCCTTAGGATCTACCCTCCGGGCACAGGGGTGGTTTGGGCTCTTGGCCTCCTGCCCCAGCTGTTTGTGCCAAGGGGAATGTGGGCAGCCTGCAGAGATGGGAGCCTTTCTGTGAGTCAGAGCTTGTGTGGTTCAGGTCTCTTGTGCAACCCTAGTCTCCAAAGCAGCAACTGACTGGATGACATGGAACCTCCCTCCCCCACCTCCTGTCTCCCCAGCAGAGACTTGGTCCATTTCCACAGCTTAGACCCCTTCTAACCAAAGCAGGAGAGGCCCGAGCCCTAGCTTAATTCCTGAATAAAATCCTTTTCTGACTAGAGAACTGATTCCTGGTGACAGGGTGGGAAAGGGCCCAGTAGGTGGAGCTGCTGCCCCTTCTCTGGGGTTAGCTCACGCCTGCCTGCCGCTGTCCACCCGACTTAGCGTTAGCACACCGCTTCTGTCCGAGAGCATCCTGTACTCCATCGGTGCTTCGTGTGCATTAGTTTATTGGATTTAATGCCAGGGGAGAGCTCTTGTTAAAAAGATTTTTCTCCCGCCCCTGCTCCCCCACCTGGAGGTTAGTTTGGCCCCGAGACAAGGACTGGGCAGGAAAGGGCTTTCCCCTTACATTTCTAGTGAGGACCATAGACGAAATGTCTTGGAGTCCCAGGTTGTCCGGAGGGTGGTTCCACCAAGACGTGGCCGGGGTCTCCCCGTGTGCGATGCCGAGTGTCTGAAGCTGGCTGCAGGGCAGCGAGCAGTTAGAGCTGCACGTCTCCCAGCAGGGAAGGCAGCCAGCAGACCTGTGGGGGCCGGTGAGGCCAGGGCCTGTCGGGACTTGAAAGAGTGAGGCAAGTGGGTGTATGGCGCTGGCCTCCGTTCCTCCTCAAGCTCTCCCAGGGTGTCAGTTCACAGAGCCTTGTGCCCAGGGTGTCGGGGGAGGGGGGGGGCAAAGCTTGGGTGGGAGCCCTGGCCCGGGGCCCCAGGTGAGTGGAGGGATTGGGGGCGGGCCTGAAATGCTGTCTTGGGGCTGAGCTGGCAGGTTTCTTGGGCTCGTGCAGCTGCCTCCTGGGGTCACAGGGTGCACTCTCTCTTGCCAGTCATGTCACGGGGCCTCCCCGCTGGCAGGCTCCCACCCAGCAACATGGGTCTGTCTCAGCAGAAAGTGCTGGGAAGGATCAGAGAGAAGTTACGAAACCCCAGAAGGGCTGGGCTTCCTTTCCCAAGCCCACCACTTCGAGTTAGGAGGCTGAGAGACTGCTCAGCTCATGCTTCCGCCTGGTCTTTCCTAAACAGCTCTGGTCAAAGGAAAGAAACCTCTCCTGCTTCTTCAGGCTCTCGAGAAGCTGCATCCTTGTTCTTCCTGGTTCCATCATCATTACCTTTGGGAAGTGCTGTCTAATCCGTCTGTCTCCTAACCAAAGTGTGTACCTGCTTCTCCCTGTCCAGTCTCTGCAATGGGAGGGGAGCGGCCTGTTGGGAGCCAGGGCAGTAGATCAGTCCTGGGCGCCTTGCTTCTGGGCTGGTGCAGACAAAGCCAAGGGCCTGGCTATTTCCAGCCAAGAGGAGTGTACCTGGGGACTGTGTTTGGGGTGAAAAGGAGGGTGGGGAGGAAGCCCTCTCTTTTCCTCCTGCCGTCTGTCACCTGACAGCCATGCTCAGATTGTAAGTGTTAATGAAATTACGGTGCCCCGGAGGCACCTGGGCAGCACCCCCCGCCCCCCCCAGAATCAGCCTGACTCATTTACAGCTTTCTCCTAGTTACCCCAAAGGCTCTGAGGTGACAAATGTGGGGGGGTGGTTTCAGGTTTCATGTTTTCACATTACTGGGTGGAAAAAAAAACCTTTCCAAACCAAAAAAAAACAGCTTCTACAGCAGAAAGAGCATGTCCCGAGAGCACTGAAAATTTCCCCATCCTCTCTCCTCAGCTGCTCTGCCACAGACCAGACAGACCACTGCTGGAGGGGTGTTGGGGACAGCCCCTTTGGAGGTGGCAGCACTTGCCTTCCTGCTTAAAGGCAGGGGAGGACCTTTGCAGGGCCCTCTAGCTCTGGAGCCTGAGGGCCCTCAGTGGCCCCAGGAATGGATTGCCAGTGGCCTGGCACAGTCAGCTCAGGATGGACAGTGGCCTGGGAAGAAACCAATTTCATCCCAGGAGGTCGGGGGCAAGTGTCCCTTAGAGAGGGTTCTTTAGGTAGAGCGGTAGGTGGGAAGGTGGCCTGGTCCATCTGGCACATGGAGATGTGCCCCCTCCTGTTACTGGCTGGTGGTAGCATTATAAACCACCCCCACTCCCTACAGGGGCAGATGGCCTCCATGGCAGATGGAGACTAGGCCGCCAGTGGCTGGTTGAGCTTTCTGGTTTCACGCTGGCCTCCCGGGCAAATAAGACAATCCAGAGGGGCAGTGACAGGGCCGTGTGCGTATATGCGCGCACGTGTGTCGAGACTGAGTCCTGGCCTTATTGTGCCATTTTTGGAGGGATAGTAAAGAAGGAACCCCTGATGGAGTCAGTGGATCTTCGGGGCACATCTAAGTTTGTCATGTAGGGGTGGCAGGTGCTCTGGGCCCTGACACTGCCCACCTGCCACGGCTCCTGAAGCTGCCCCAGTTTGTTCTCCAGGGAAGGGGATAGTCCCCAGGTCGGGAGTCTCTGCCCAAGCTGGATCCTGGTGAGCTTGATGCAGACCCCTTGCCACGTCGGGGGAGCTCGGGGCCTGGACAGCGGCTCCTCCCAGAGGACGCTCCGTTTGTTATGCGCTCGGGCTCCCTCACTGCGCAGGCAGGCAGCGGCCTTCATTAGCAGAGGAGCTGGGGTCTGTTTTGGCTGCCTCATCAGCATCAGTGAACTGCGTCCCTGCGAGATTTGATACAATTTAATTAACCTAATTAAAAGCTCTGATTGCAGAGATGATTGGGGTAGCGCCAGCAGCGACTGCATATTTATAATGAGCTGCAAGGTGTGGGACCGCAGCCAAACGCCACGCATCCTAATGAGCGGGAGCTGGGAGCCAGGAGCCAGGGAGCCAGGGAGCGGGAGAGGGAACGTTTATTTTTGGCAACAATGCCCAGTTCCTCCCTGCCAGGGAGTCAGAGACCCAGGGAGCAGAGACGGACCTGCCCGCTGAGTTCTTCCAAGCAAGGTGGAAGCAGGAACGACTGCATGCTCCCCACGGATTCTTGTGCCTTTGGACGTCCACCTGGGCTCACGGTGCCCGTGTTCTCCG